TCTACAAAACAGCAAAACAATGAGATAATTGAACATTAAATTGGGGATGATTGACGATAATCAGTTTAACTATGAGCAAATAGGTTGTGCTGTGGGGATAATTGAACATTAAATTTGATACTATATACGTACAATTCAGGCATGCATTATTTATCATCACATTAAATTTAAAAAAAAAATTTATCATTGCATTAAATCGACAATTTTCCTGTACTGAACCCTTTCTTCTAGCAAGTCTATAAAAAGAAAGAAGTTCTAATCGAGCATTTGGCTATCGAGTTCAGGAATTTTATTTCATTGTTTACTGAAGAAGTCGGTCATCTTGACAAAATTACAGTGTCTGCAATCAAAACTAGCCAACCAATAAAATCACAATCTGAAGTCACTGAAACTGGACTATGCCATGGATCTAGGCCATTCCCATGTTCGGGAAGCTGTAACAATTCCAAGTATTAGCCCCGGAATTACTAGAGAAGCTGAGCCCAGATGATATTCCAAGGATTATCAGACACCTAAGTATAAGGCCATTTCGAAACGGTCCGCTTCAGTTCAATGGCATTAAACCCTGTGTTAGGATTGTTTACCTTCTGTGAGTTGTATGTTCGAATCCCATGAAATCTCTTTTCTTGTTCCCCAAATTAATACGTAAATAATTATAATGTGTTTAAATAAAATAATAATAATAAAAAAGTATAAGGCCATTCCTTCGCTGCCTTAGACTTGCCTTCCAGGTTATGGGAAAAATTCACTTTATTAGGACCTGATCCACAGCTACTAGGCTTCTCATTAGTCATTGATCCAAGGCAGTGGCCGAACCAGCAAGGCCCTACGTTGGGCCTTAAAAAAACCTAAAAAGACAGTCCCATTCAAGAAAGGCCCGACCATAATACATATCTATTCCCTTACCTTTTCCATTTTTCTCAGCAACCGAGCGGTCGATTCTTTTCGGTTGGGCCAATTCTTACTTGCACAATGAATATTATTGGTTTTTTTTGTTAAAAATTAAAAAAAAAATTTATTGTCAATTAATATTTTTTATAATTTAAAATTTATAAAAAAAATTTAGAAAACAAATTAAGATGTAAATAAGGAGTTTGGTTATTAATTTTTAAATTTTTTTATAAATTTCAAATTATAAAAAATGTTAATTAACTATCAAAATTTTAGAAGATATTTACCAAAAAAACTATAATATCTAGATGCAAATAAG